CACACTGCAGTCAACTCCGGAATTACAACCGAAGGCTGGCTAATGCCAAACATATTCAATATAAGAGCTGCACACGTCACGGAAGTGAAATTCACAACTTCCAAGCCAGCATGAAAAGTATGAAAGGAATCTCACATTGGACAATCCAGATCAAACCTTCAGTTGGGTGCTGATTTCCAAGGGCTGAGAACCTCTTCTTTGGAGTTTCAGTAAAAAAGTCCTCATCTGCAGTTACACTGACATGCAAGATTTCAAACCACCTGATTACAGAAAACGGAGGCAGCAGGTTTGGAGCCGCTTGCATCCAAAGAATTACAAGGAAATACATCACCTTGCTTCCTGTTATAGATAATACAAATACTTTGCATAAGCATACACACTCCCTAACCTCCTTTTAGCCACAGATCACAGAAAGCATTGCAAATATTGATCAGATCTCAGAACAAGTACCATAGGCAAGTATTATTCTTATTCTTTCAGATGAGTGAATAAGCCCAGAGATAATTAATTCAAATCACCTCAAATGTTGGGTGCTTGATTTTAGACGCCTCTCGCCCGATATTCAGAAATGCCAAGTTATGTTGACTTCAAATGGAGTTAAAGGTGTTTACTTAGCCCATAGACTTAAAATGTTCAAATATCAGTATCCAAAGCCATATAAGACAACATTCTTCCCTATATTCGGTGCATCCCATTCAGCCCAAAAGCAACACTTACCAATTGTTCTATTATCTCTTTGTTAATGAGATAATAAAATAACCACAGCAGCAAAGCAGATACCAGTCAGATCAGCTCATTACACTCCTAATAATTATCATAAATAATAATGATGAGCATTGAAAGACAATACAGGGGAAATTATGAAGAGACACTGATGTAGGGATTAATCCTTCAAGGCTCAGTAGACTGAACATATCAATTTATTTTATTTTCTTCTCTTTGGTTAACAGGTTTTATATACAACATGAATACTTGTTCCCGTAAGAAACAATTCTTGTCCTAACCCCATTCTATAAATTCCACAAAGCCTCATATCTACATCTCTGGCACCACCATTGTTTTGAGAGTAGCAGATCGTGATGCCTTATTTAAAGAAGATACTACAGTATTCTATAGTAATCATCCAAAACCATTCCCATAACATTACTGTAAAGTGTAGGGATTTGGGACTATACAGGGAGGACACTACAGGATTCCACAATTAAAATTTAAAATGAAAGAAACAGGCTGGAATGGGGCATACATGAGGTTGGGCATTTTGCAAAAGAAACAATGGGTTCTGACCTGGAGGTTGAGAACTAGCTGGGCTTTACCACACAAAGACTTTTTATTGTGGCTGTGGAAAAAGCACCTTGTTTAATATTAATTGTTCATTTATTGGGGGGGGGGGGAGGAAGGGAATCAAGCCAGCCAGGAAGAAAAATAAAGTTGAACTGTGCTGCTAACAGTTCCCCAGAGGGAGTGGGAAGTGATTAGTGAGTTAAATGGCTACATTGTTAACAATTGCCACATAGAGTAGCTTATGCTGTAAAATCCATTTTTCGCTGCCAATTTGCTAATCTGTTTACATATCTGCTAGTAAATGAATTAATCACCCCTAAATCTCTCTCCAGCCTCCCCGCTTTTCACTTTCCCACATACACCATGTTCTAACACATCATTTGTGGTTTTGGTTTTATGGTCAGACATCAATCTTTGAAAACATACATGCCCAAATGCTCAAGAGCTCCACTATAGCAAAGCAAGGTAAAAAGAAAGGCATCTGTGATATAATCAACACTGCCATCAAGAGAAACAATAGTGTCAAACTAATGTGGCCACTGTGTTCAGGGGAACAATCCCCATGCAACCTACTGTCCCAGTTTTCCCCTGAATGTTATTTCAAGGTTGTAAATCTGCAGGATTTCCACACGCAACAAGAAGAGCATATCAAAGAGCACAAGACAGTTGTAGGGATAACTCCATATGTCAAAAGGAAGAAGAAAATTGCCGTACACACACAGGTATTTTAAGAGAAAGTATTTCCCCATAAGGAAAGTCCCTTATCTTCTGAAATGAGGATCAGCCGTGGCTAGATGCACTTGAGATTTTACTTCTGTGTATTCTAGTGAAAAGTAGTTAGAATTAATTAGATTTGGAACCTACAGCAAGAAGAGTTTAAAACCTCAAGAGCAAATCTGCAGTGTTATAAATAAAAAGAGGTGTTCGAAATTGTGTGCAACTAAACGTAATTGGTGAGAGAAGAGGAGGAAAAATGTTACAAATAGCGCAAGGCAACAGTTGTATTAAGGAGAAGGGCCAACAAAGGGATTTAAAAGGTCCCCGGGTATTAAACAAGTAGTAACAAATGGATACTGGTTTCCCTTGTACATTTCCACCAGTATTTCTGATACTGAGTTTTATGGTGCAGCCCTGGAAAGTAAGTGGGCATGACAGGAAGGGATTCAGTGTTGTTCTGCCTTGAACACTGAACTCTTGGCTTCCCCCTTTTTACATGCGTTACCATACAGAACAAACAAACAAAAGCAACCCATTTCTTGCACAATGACTTTTCAGAATGTTTAACAAAAGGCTGCTGAATAAACACATTAAGCATTAAAAAAATCGTTCCATCCGCATGTAGTCAAGAGGTATTTGCATCCGAATAGTTATGAAGATAGCACCATCTGATGGAAGACAGCAAAAGTGCATGGGATACAACGGACGGAATCTATCCCACAACTTGATCCTTAATTGAAATCCAACCGAGGGGGAGGGTGCGTGGACATTCTGCCCATTTGCTTTTATTGTCAGAATCTTAGCTGGGCGAATTGGTTACAGGGCATTAAGAACTCAGCCTTTAAATGTAATCTAAAAAGAGGCAACACTTTCCATATAACCTCATTCGTGGAAGTGGCTCGGCAGTCATATTTATATGTATAAATAAGATCATTTCATCATTCTGAACAACAAGGCAGGCATTAGTGGGAGGTGAAAGTTGACATTCACAATCAGGCAGATCAAACACTAGCTTTCCCACTTAGCTAAGGATGATAATGGAATATTTCCATCCTGGTTTGGAAAGGATTAGCCATTTGCTTCCAGTGCACCTGCATTTGCTCTGCGCCTTTTATGGTACCGTTTATTCTCTCCCACACCTACGTCCCCCTTCCACGAAAAAGTTTTCCATTTTACTTAAAGATGGATTTTTTTTCTAAGCATGCGAGTTAAGTGATTCATCAAAGGGGAACACGAGCCTAGGGTCTAGCCCCAGTTTAGGTCAACCCCAGTCCTATATATCCTGAAATCACATTCAGAACAGTCATTAAAAAGGGGTATTTTTAAAAAAAAAAATACCATAAGCTCCATAGATAGCTCCTTTCATGAGTAAAACTATTTAGCAAGGTTACATTTCCCAGTGGTTTTTAATAAATCTGATAACATGTTCCGTTGCCTAGCAATCTAAATATAAATTTGTTATTAAACAGCATTGGACTGATTTGCGCTTGTACCTCACAGAGCTGAATGGGAGCTCTTCTACCGACTCAGCCAGCCTCACGCCAAACTTTCTTTAAAACGATTTCGCAATGGGAAAAAAAATGTCTTTCGGGTTTACACATGGGTCTGATTGCCTGGTCCCCATTTGCTGAGCTGCCCAACATCTATATCTTAAAGAAGCCGGATAAAAGTCGTTTGATCTCTCTTAGCATCTTCATTTCTCACCATGTCAGGAGCACTAAACCCCGGCGTGCTGGGCACCCCCGCTGAAGGTATGGAATGTAAATAGCCGAGCCTCAGTGGGTGAGATTTATCATCTCCAGTCCACAAACGCAGTTAGGAGCAGGGAAGTCGCCTTTACTCATCTTAAACATTCAGGCAAAAGAAAGCTGGGAAAGGGGGAAATACAGGGTGGGGGCAGTGTGTGTGTGTTTTAAAGATTTGCTAACTGAAGCACAAGAAAATTGATTCCACACCACCAGGGAAAGCAGAAATCACTCCCCCACTTTTGATCCACCTGAAAAATGGGGAAAGAGGCAGAAAACTAGCTCAATGGACACCTATCATCTTGAAGGAATTCCAGCTATACTTAAGGAACTTGGGGGGGGGGGGGGAGAGAGAGACGGCTACTATTAGGTTACATACAGTCTCTCTCTGCTCTAAAACAGTCTCCTTACAGATTAAAATAACCGAGATCCTGACAAGTCCAAGTATCTCAGCCATCCAGAGAAAGTTAATCAAACTCTGGGATCCCCGGAGGGTAGGGAGCAAAAGCTGCCACTGAACTTCTAAAAAGTGTTGCCTAACTTTGGTTTAAAGGTACCGTCTAGTGACTTGCAGCGCGGTGGCACGTTTTCCCCAAGGCTCACCCCTGCCTTTGATTCAGAACAACTGTTTACTATAAAAAGGACCCAACTGTCTTGACCCCAAGAATGAAAGGGATGCTTTCATTTCACACAAGCCACAACTTTTAAAGAGACATACCCCTCCTCAGAGAGAGAAAATATGTATGTATATAAAACCCATATCTCCTGTGAAGGCAAGCAAACAAAACAAACCCATTGAAAAGGGAGTTAGTGTTGAGGCACTATTATGACTTTGAAGACAAACATCATTCTAAAGGACTTTTAATAGGATTGCTCTTTTCCTTGCCATCCGCTGGGCTTTGATGAGACAAATCTATTCTTTCCAGCCCATGATCCTTCAGAAAAAGCTCGAGGTAGAAAAGGGTAGAAGAAAGAGTAGGGCAGATCCCATATAATTCAATACATTGCATCCAGCTCTCTCCTGGCTTTTGTATTTAACCCACCACGCCGAAGAGATGCACGCGAAGAGCAAAGCAAGCAAATCACTGCAAAAAGGCAAACTTAACCCCGCGCAGAACGTCCACACAATCCAGCCCCAAACAGACACGTTGAGGTGTATTGCCACCCCCTTATCGCTGGCTCACTCTCTGCCCCCGGTTAAGTTGGAAGCCTTCGCGAGGGCTGCCTATAGAACAAGTGAAGAATGGATGAACTCACCTGGGAAGACCTGCCCCTCTGCTTTTTGCAACAGCTGCACCAGAAAGACAATAGTGGCAATCCGATTCATTCTTTATTGGAGTTCACATTCCCTCCCCGCTATAGCAGTGCAGGTGTCTCTCTGTGTGCCTGGCAAATATCCCCTGCATTGGTACATCAGAGAGTTGGAGATGTATCTCCGAGCTGGAGCTGCTATCCTGATCTGATGAGTAGCACAAACTGATTGAAGAAGGGGGAGGGAAAGCAAGGGGAGGGGGAGAGAGACAGAGACGAGAGATTTCCCCTGAGTCCTAAAGCCTGCCTTTTCCTCCCCTTTTCTCAGACAGCTCCACACCGTCACTAACCAGACTTCAACGGACCTCGGCTACCGACCCCCATTCTGCACTTCTGGCTTTTGTTCTGACAGAGGGTTGCCCACAGGGGAATCAGTGTAATTAAGAACCTTCTGCACTGAAGAAGCAGCAAAACTCCTGCACCAAACCGGGGTTGGGAATTTACAAAAATAAATACAGAGCAGGAGACATCGGAGGGTATTTTCTTGAATCCAACTGTTTGATCCATTTTACTGCTCAGCTGTGTCCTATTTGCAGGGACTTGGGGACAACATGTTGCAAGCAAATTAGATTTCCTGCTCGTGCATTGTTTCGGGGGGCGTGGGCGTCAATGCAAAATATCTCCTATGAGCAAAAGAACTGGGACTGTGGCTCACCGTGAAGCCAGCACTGAGATGGGAAGTGAAGAAGAGACCCCCTGCTAGGACGAGAAGAGTGAGCAAAACTGCAGGTTTCAGGGGGTCCATTATTCGATCAGCTCTTATGAATGGCTCACAGGCATTTTCAGCTGAAAACAGTAATTTTCATCGTTATTCACTTAACTTGGGGTAGACTTGGCTGCTAAATCCCTAATCACACCACGTACTGCTGCACGCACGAGCTTTACACAAACACACACGCACGCAATTAAAACGGTGACTCTGCTTCCACATGACTCTGCAAATTACACCCCCCCCCCGCGTCTGCTTTCATTTTGTTAAATGAAATAAGTAGGAGGTCCCCGTCCCCCCCTTCTCGATACCCTGCATCGGCGGGAGGGGGGGCCGTAAAGACATGGGGCTATAGATCCTCCATCTGATGCCGGATTGGCAAAGCAAAGGAAAGCGGTGACCGTCTCCCCCCACCGGCATGAAGTGACTGTTTTATCACGAACGCGACAGGAGATTCTTTTTGACGGTCACTGAACTTTCAAAAGAAACTCCAAAGTGTTTTGCTTTGCGGGGGCCTGTGTGTGCGCGCTTCGTCAAGACGCTCCAGGTTCAATAGAGCTCCGCTTCCAAGCTGATTCTAATAATGCTGTTAATTGCTCAGCCTTACCCCCTCCCCATGTCCTTTATCCCCCTCTCCGTTTTTTCCCCCCTACTGAACAACCTGTTTTCTCTTTATTCTTACACAGCTCTTTTCATCAAATACCCAGGCAAGCAGCCAAGAGGCTGTATCACTCCATGGATAACCAGTAGGGGGTAGAATTGCATCAGTAGTGACATTTCTATATGGCCTCCCTCCTCACCCCCATTCACTTGCATGCCACCTCTCTGGGTGGGTTGCAGACCTTTAGCCAGGGACCTGGATTAACAGCAAACATTAATGCACAGAGGGCACAAAAGCTTTAGGATCTTCCCAGGTGAGCACAGCTAGCACTGATCGGTCCTTTTTTGTCCCATCCCAAAAGAGAACAAAGGGAGCGCATAATTAAATTGATACCAGTGAACTTTTAAACAACTCAAAGGACATACCTGCCACAGGGTATAGTAAGGAACTCAGGGCAGGTGGCTGAGAGAGTCACATACTGGCTCTGGGGTTTAAACGGCTTCTGCACAATTACATGAGGACTCATACCGGAAGCTGTGTGCACAGGAAGGGGAAAATCCTGCCCTCATTGAAGAAGGCTTCGCAGTGGGAGTGAAGTAGAGAGCCCTCCACTGCTGCAAAGCAAGATGGCAGGCAGGCAGGCAGGGAACATTTGCAAATGTAACTCATTGGCAGAATCCTCCCCTATTCCCCCTCCACTAGTTGGTGCACGTTTTATTCCTGATACTTTCAGATACCAAAGCCAGGACAAGTCTCAGAACCATCCTCCACCTTCAGACCCTCAACAAATAGCTCAAGGAGATGAAGTTCTGCATGGCACACCAGGCTATGATTATCCCTTCCCTGGATCCAGGAGAATGGTACGCTGCCCTTGACTTGGAACTCAAAGGTGTACATAAAGCAAAGGGGAGAATCTGAACGGAGAACATGGGGAACAGAGATAGGGGAGGTGGTTGTGGGGGATGGTCCCTGGGGGAGCCAGTTCAAAGAGTACTGGGAGCAGGAGGGGGGCTAGATTCAAGGGGAGGAGTAGTGGGGTTTTGGGAAGGAGGAGGAGCAAGGAACTAAAGGATTTGCTAGCATGCTTTATGTAAGTGAAGTGCATGCATATGTATGTGCTAACTAAAACACTCCATCATTTAGTTTCCAAACTCATGGCTTTAACAGACAGATAGATGCTGAAGGGTAGGGGCCAGAACTACTGTGAGAGGCAGGTGAGCCACCTTCCTGATGAGGATAGAGTGGACACCTCAGCACCACACAAACTGAAGAGGCTGATGGGGAAAGCCTCCCAGTCTGAGAGGAAGCAGCATCTGCCCTAAGAGCAGTAATGGGAGGATGGAAAGCATCAAGAAGAGCCAGAGCAGCAGCATCAGGTGAAGAGGAACCAGTCACTTAAACACTGCTTCTTGGCCCAGAGCCTGGCTTTAAATGAGGAAGAGACATGGGGAGTTCCCTGGGACATAGACAGTAACTTTCTTCCTCTCCCAGGCCCTCTCGTCTCCTATTACTATACCTCTTTGCATAATAAGAGATGCAGCCAGCCCCCTCTAGCTCAAACTTCACCTCCAACTCTTCCTCCTTGTAATGATTGTTTACTTGCCATATATTATTCGGCCACTATCAGCTGCATAGAGCTCAAAACAGAGTGTGGTGCTTAGTAAGCAAGGAAGACAAAGCTGGAAGTCAAGTTGTGTGGAAACCTGTTTGCCTATAGCTACAGCTATTTTCCTTAGTAAAGACCTGCTAAAGAAGCACTGTGATTCTACATGCCACTATTCTGAGGCTGCAAAACCCCTACATGAAGCAAGTAAAGTTGATGGTGAAATAGTTGTAGTGAATGTCTATGTACAGTTATAGCTGAATAAATGCAAAACGTCCACATAATTTAGAAAATGTTTTTACAGAGACCATGTCAGATATTGTCAGGCATATTTGTCCAGCACTAATACAGCTTTAGATTAAGTAGGAAAATTTTAAAACTCCAATTTTCTTGTTTCAGAGGAACAGCCGTGTTAGTCTGTATTCGCAAAAAGAAAAGGAGTACTTGTGGCACCTTAGAGACTAACCAATTTATTTGAGCATGAGCTTGTGTACTTTCTGCATTTTCCTCATTTTGAAGAAACCACTCCATGATGTCAGTTTAACTGTTTGGTTCATTAGTGCTGCAAGGGAACATTTGTTCATTATGCTCATTGGAATTTTTTAATAGGTTACATTTTTATTGGTCTCATGGTTTAGAATTGAAAAGGAAAAAAAAAACCCTTCATTTTGCTAAACTTGACAGTGTTTCATTAAAGACATCCAGACTTTATGGTTAAAAACATTGTTTACTACATTTTAGTAATGCCACCTTTTCAGAGAATTGTTTTAAAAGTTAAAGAAGGCTGATAGGCTGAAGAAATAGGCAGTTTATTGACAGATCCAAATTGTTTGTATTGTAGTAGCAGCCAAAGGCTGAAACCAAGATCAGGTTCCTATTGTCATAGGTGCTGTAGATATGCCCAGTAAGAGACCGTTCCTGTCCCAGAGATCTTACAGTCTAACATGACAAAACAAAGGAAGCATTATCTCCATTTTCCAGATGGGGCACTGAGACCCAGAGAGAAATTAAGGCCCCAATTCCATGAACAAGTGTGTAACTAACCATGTGGTTAGTGCCATTGAAGTCCTTGAATGGTGCATAAATAGTTTGTTCCAAGTCACAGAGGAAGTTTGGGGGAGAATGAGTATTGGAACTCAACTTTCACAAGTTCCAGGTCGGTAGAAGACCTTTCTTCCTCTCATTCGCTTTTCCTTTGAGTGTCTTGATCCATGCAACTTGTAAAGAGATGAATGAGAAGAAATCACTCGAAATGTCTTTATTTCCTCTCCCCACATTAAAATGGTGAGGACACATTCCCCATCCTTTCTCCAATCTGCTCCACAGGGCCCCTTTGTATCTGTTCTATAGCAATACAAAGTACAATTGATTGACATCTGCCCTGCACCTGGGTAATGATTGAATTTTATATGACCAAGTCTTCATACACAAATTAAGGTCCATAAATTAATATTTATGAACTCCGACAGCAGCAGAAGTAGCCTTCTCGCTGATTCAGGGTAGCTGTCGCACTGGGAAAACCACACAGAGAGCATGTTATGGGGTTTATATATTAATTCAAGGAGCCCTTCCATGTTATCCTCCGCTTTCAAGTCCTTTTCTTCCCCATCACGACACCCATGCTTCTGTCATGCTCCTGCCTCCTTCCCCTGGGGAAGGACTGGCATAGTGTTTGCACAAGATGGAAGTCAATAACCACCATTATCTACAGATGACTACAGAGCCAATTTTCAGTAGAGTTCAGCATGCACAGGTAGGGCCAAATTTTCAGAGGAGCTCAAACGGGGAGCTGCTGCGTGCTCAATGCTTTTGGAAAAACTGACTCTTAGTTCAGGTGTCTGTGTCAGTGCAGGGGACAAGGTGGGTGAGGTAATATCATTTTTTGGACCGATTTCTGTTGGTGAGAGACAAAAGCTTCCAAGCTTACATGAAGCTCTTCTTCAAGTGTCTATCAGTGCTGAGCATTTGAAAATGCATCCCTGAACTCTTTAGAAAATTTGGCTTCACATTATCGAATTTACCCGACTGCCACACTACTGGTAGGTTGTATCACTTCCCTCTTTTTTGGGGGCAAATATTCTGGAAGTTATGTTCCACAGTAACATGTGAAAGGAAATTGGAGGTAAGTAAACGTATTTGCATACTGACATGTACCATGTAATGGAACATAAGGGCTGATCAAAAGCTAGTGCAAAGTGGCATAGCTCCATTAGAGTTAATGGAGCCGCAGCAGTTTACACCACCTGA